GGGAAAGAATATGTAATTCTCTATTGACAAAAGTATAATAATGTTGTTAAAACATAATGTTTTAATTTTGTGTCATAAAGTCCCTTAAAAAAAACTTTGTGTCATAAAGAGTGAATTAATTATGATTGTGATAGTCCAAAAAAATATTCCAACAAGAACTGCATTTATTTTGTTGTTAAAATTAAAGTTCTTATTTTTTTTCATTCCATAATTCATTGTTATATTGGCCTTGTCATTAGAGCTATATTCGTCAGTTTCTTTCACTTATTTGGGTTTCTATTTCATATGTTATTTCTCATTCTAGAAGAAAAAGGAAAAAGAAAAGAAAGGGAGAGCAAAAGAGAGGAAGAAACCAGCAGAGAGCAAAGTCAGGAAACAAGAAGCATGGAATGTGCTGCTTCAGTTGGCACTTCAATTCTTGAAAAAATTGGAGGGTTTTTGGTTCCGCCTGTAATCCGTCAGCTAAAATACCTTTTCTTCTACAAAAAACAGATCGAAAAACTCAGAGATTGTATTCCAGATTTAGAGAGCGCTAGAAGCAGGATTGAAGGAAAAATCAAGGCGGCTACGGATAATCTTGACAAGATCCAAACCAATGTTGAGCTTTGGGAGAAGAATGCAGCTGACCTCATCCAAGAGGCACAACAATTTCTGGAGGCTGAAGCCGTAGCAAGAAAGAGATGTTGCTGTGGGTTTTGTCCAAATTTTGTGTTGCGTCATGGGCTGGGCAGTAAAGCATACAAGACGATGCTAAGAGTTGTGGAGATGTCGAATCACGAGCCTGGAAAATCGGGAGAAGAAGTTTCTTTTACTCCCGAAAGAAAATATACCAATAAAAACGAAGGCTATCAAGCCTTTGGGACAAGAAATGAAACTTTCGAGAACATCAAGGCTGCATTGAAGGCAGATGATAAAACTAGAATGGTTTTGGTCTACGGGACGGCTGGCACTGGGAAAACAATGTTGGCTAATGAAATTGCCAAACAAGTAGAAGAAGAGAAGTTATTTGATAAAGTAATCTTTACTGCTGCATCTCAAAAGCCAGACTATAAAAGGATCCAAGGAGACATTGCGGACAAGCTGAGACTGTCAACTTTGATGGATAAAGAAACGGTGGAAGAAAGAGCATATCTTTTGCGAGAGCGGCTGGCAAATGAAAGCAATGTCCTCATAATTCTGGATGACATTTGGGAGGAACTGGAGTTGAGTAATGTTGGAATTTATTTTAAGGATGATCAAAAGGGTTGCAAGATCCTAGTAACATCTAGATTCCAGCATGTGCTGCAAAATTATAAGCATACTACCCAGAAGTTTGAGATTGGATATTTATCTGAGGATGAATCAATTGCTTTGTTCAACAGCATTGTTGGGGATAGAGCAACAGAAAGGGGGTTCCAAGAGTTGGCAACTGAGATTGTTGGTAAATGTCAAAAATTACCGCTTGCGGTTTCGGTTGTTGCATCTGTGTTAAGAGATAAGGAGTTGGATGTGTGGAAGGATGCTTTGGAGAGGTTAAGGAAATCTGGTCCGGGTGGAAGTCATGGAATGAGCGACAATTTATTTAATTCCATAAAGCTGAGTTATGATTTCTTAGATGATGAAGCACAAGAACTATTTTTGCTTTGTTGCATGCGGGAAGAAGATACGAACATGGATCTTCACTACATGTTGACTTATGGTTTTGGTTTCCGCATATTTCACCAGGTCTACACGCTTAAAGATGCAATACGTAGATTTCGCGCGTTGGTCAGCAAATTAAGAGATCATTCTTTGTTGTTAGAAGGGAGAAGTTATGTCTATGTCAAAGTGCATGATGTGGTTCGTGATTTTGGGATATTTATTGCGTCCAAATATAAGGCTATGTACACCATTAGAAGCAGAGATGAATTTAACCATTGTCACAGCGAGAAAACATTACGAAATGCAATTGCCCTGTCTCTTCTTTATGATGATATGGGTAAGCTTCCTGAGAAGTTGGAATGCCCGCATGTCAAATTACTTTGGATGTGGAAAACTGGGTCCTCAGAAGTTCCAGACCTCTTTTTTGAGGAAACAAAGGAACTAAAGGTGTTGGATTTGTCTTATGCGAAACTGCTGCCACTACCTTCATCATTGGGATTTCTTGAAAATCTTCGAGTGTTGAATTTGTGCGATTGCACGCTTGGGGATATATCTGAAATCGGTAATCTCAAGTTGTTACAAGTTCTTGACATGACAGGGTCTACTATTGAGTATCTGCCGAAAGAAATAGGACAACTGTCACATTTACGAGAACTCGAAATAGGTCGTTGCAAGTGGCTAACAAAAATTCATCCCGATGTCTTATCGAACTTGAAGGAGCTGGAAGAGTTGAATATGAAGAATACTGTTATCCAATGGGAGGATGGAGATGGAAGAGAGAATGCGAGTCTTACTGATCTACAGGAACTGCCTAATCTGAGAGCTTTGCATTTGGAAGTGGAAAGTGCCCATATTAAGTCAACCAACTTGTTGAGCAAGAAATTTAGCCGCTATGAAATATCAATAAATACGAGACCCTCTATTTGGTTCAGCAATAAACTGACGGCATACACATTATTCGGTTCCAAAATATTGAAACTCAATCTGGGAAGCAATCTTTTGATAGAGGAGCTTGGTCTTGGAATGTTGCTCGATTGTTCCGACGAGGTACAATTCGTTGGAATACAAGACGTTGATGCTCTAATTCCTGGAGTAAACAAACAAGGATTTCTCGAAACTATGCACATGGCATTATATGATACTAAAATCCGATATATCATTAGCCCGTTGCCGAGCCATCCTTACAGCGCTTTTGAAAGGTTGGAGTCATTGAGGCTTCACACTTTGGAGAAGCTGGAACATATATGTCACCGAGAACTCGGTTCAGGCTCGTTCTGCAGATTACAACAACTTGAGATCAACAAATGTCACGAGTTAAAGAGTTTGGTTTCCTTTTCTGTGGCCAAACTCCTTGTGCAGCTCCAAGAGATAAATGTTTATGATTGCAACATGATAGAAGAGATAATCACGCATGACGATCAGCCTTTAAACAATGCTGGAACTATTGAATTTCCTCAATTACAAACTCTGCGGCTTCAAAGTCTTCCCAAGCTTAAAACATTCTTCAGCCAGGGATTGGAACCATCTAAAAGGACTCTGGTGCCTTTGTTCAGTGGACAGGTATGTAACCTATCTATACATTCTAAGATATTTTATGCTAGAAAAATTTAGCAGAACGTTTTTCAGATGAAATTTTACGGGAAGAAAAAAAATCAATACAAGGGCGGAATTTTCACAAGTTTATTGTTTTAACTCAAGTTACAACTTAAGTTTTATTATTACAATATTTTCTCTCACAATAATTCAAAATCACCGTTTTTGCTACTGTATTTTTCTCCCACATCACAACTCAAATTCTCTAACATTCAATAGATTATCAAGAATTAATAAATCTGTACCCAAAAGCCAAGAAGAAACAAGGATCACTTGAAATTCAATAGAACATCTTGCTACAGTCCTATATGTGATTATGAGTCTTGTATAATTCAATATCCTTTGGGAAAATGACTATCATATGACAACAATGTTAGAAATCAAAGATTTGGTGAAAATCAGCACCCAAAAGTCAAGAACATTCATGTTAGATTATCAAGAATTAATAAATCTGTAAGCGGAAGCGTACCTGAATCCATATTGCTTGATTTCTCTCTAGAGTCGTGCAGTTTGTCTTCCAGATCAACACATTTTCCTAGAGAACCCTTTAACTTTCTCTCTGTACTCTTTCTGATTATGGGATGTCAGAATGAATGAAATGATACGTGTGATCTGGGGACCATAACTGCCATATATTGATAACTTCTATATTATCTTTTGGTATTTCTATTTTAACCCATCATAAAAATAGAAATTACCCTTAAGTCTCTACACATTAAAGGTTCACACCCTATTAGATACATTAAAGCCCAAAATACCTAAACCTTAGTAGATCACTTTTAATTAGGCTTAATTTTATATGACAGCCCACAACACCATTCATAATTATTTACATATAAGCCCAACGTTGAATTAAGTATCCAACAAACAATAGTAACACTATTGATGATCCGAAAATGGACAAACATTGTTCGGTCAATTCAAGTAAAAAATCGCTCTGTTTTTTACTAATGTCATTGAGTTCATAGACCATCAAGCTCTCTCAGATGCAATGAAATTGAAGTAATTGACATTTATTAGTGTATTTATGTTCTTTTCTTATGATTTCGAAAAGTTTACACTTTACACGTGGATATATGGCTTGCAGGTTCAGGCTTCAAAACTGACAAACTTGGAAGTATCTTATTGCGAGTCTTTGAAATATTTATTTTCATCCGCTTTTGCCTCAAAGCTTCCGAACTTATATTACATATACATGAAAGAGTGCAACATGATGGAAGAGATCATAATCGTGGATCAGAAGGTGGAGGAAATATGTTTCCCTCAACTACAATATCTTCAGCTTCAAAATCTACCAAAGATTAAGAAATTTTGCAGTGGTATTTCCATAGAGTGTCCATTGATGGCTGATCTGAAAATGTGGAATTGTAACTTTCAAGGGAGTCAAAAGATAATATTTGCGTCTGAATCTGATGCCGCATGACAAGGTGAGATCTCATAACCTTTCATTTTAACGTAACATATACTGTCATGAGTTGTTTAATTTAGGATTATTTTCATAAATACCCCTTGAAGTATAGACCATTTTTCATTTTGCTCCCTATTTGTTTAAAATTGTTCATTGTGCCCCTAATATACACAAACAACTCAAATTGCCCCTTTCGTCTGCTTCTGTCTATTGTTCTAACGGAATTGCTGAGGTGGATGCTATTAAAGATTAATAAAATCTATTTTAACACAAATCCTAGTTTTTTTTAAAAATAAAATTTCATTTAATAATTAAGTCAATACAGACTCTAACATAATCGCAAATTACAACCAAATACAAGGGTATTCGACTACGAACAAATATTAGATCCACCAGTAAAGACGAATGAAGCGTAAAAGTGAACGTGAGTGTTGAGACCCAAAAGAGAAAGACCCACCCAACATATTAATAATAGAACATGACAAAAGCTTGTTTGACAAAACCACTACAATCGATAAATAAAACCAGTCAATCGAGACCAAAAGACTCAAAGCACTAGCGTCACTCAAAGCACTGCATAGAATTAAACTTAACAGACTAGACTTACCACCACAATAGAAAGGTGAGGAGACACTTTTCGTTATTACACAGAAAATATAAACGTGGAAATGGTGGAATTAACATTGCATTTATTACATCAAAATAAAATCAAAAAACAACACAAAAGCCTCTATCCACACGGACAAGATTACCGATGATAAGATGAATACCAAGAACATAGAGGATAGATAAGCAAGGTTCCATGCGATACCACCATCGGATACACCAATATAGCAGTTGTGAAGACCTATGCGGAAAAACTATCGGAGTTGAGCACTCATCCACGCATAACCCTCACCTCTATGACCACCGCGATGCGGAGAGAGAGATCTTGAGATTGTAGGAATGTCGAAGATTCAATGCACACAGTATGATCAACCAAAAAACCGACACCTCCCATCCGTCCTCTCTGCCCACGCTGTCGCCACCACCACCATGATCATTGCCAACAAACATTCACTTAGTAGTGTACTCCTCTAATTTATGTAGGTTAAGGAGACAAGGATAGTAAGTGTTTTTATCGCGGGACGAGTTGGCGAGACGACTATTCCACTCTAAATTTACCGCATTGTTATTCCTATGGTCAATGGCCAATAACCAATAATAAAAAGGGAATAAAGAGATTGACGGCCAAAACTTTCAACCCCTATTATTATTTACTGGTTATTAACCACACGCTCCACACGTGGAGGGATGATTGCGGGGCAAATTTAGGGCGGCGTGGTCTTTTCACCACCCGTTTAGTGAATAAAAACACTCACTATTTATGTTCTATTAACCCACATAAATTGATTGGGTGTACATATGAGAAGTAGTAGAATGATTGATTACGAATATTGTCGAAAAAAATATTTTGGTGTAAAAACCAATGACAAAATTAGTCAAATACAAATCTAACACGTATAGAGAATTGTAGTAAAAATATTTGAGTAGGGATATATTCGTAAAAAGTATTTGAATTGAGAAATTAAAAAATAATAAATAATTTAATGAAGTGGAAAAAATATCAATCAAAAACAAGAATGTAAATAAACTAAGGGTCTAATGACGTAGTAAGTAAAAGCAAAAAATAAAAAATAAAAATAAAAAAGGGAGACGAAACGCGTGAGCACGCGTCAAACAAAAGCGTTTCAACGCTTTTAATATAAGTAGATTTATTTAATTATTTATTTTAACGTGTGTGTTAAAAGAAAAAACAAGAAACAAAAAGGACACGATCATAGGTAGACATGACACCTTTTGCCGTGTATGGGATATTCACGTTTACCGCTAAAAACATTGTTTATTTTTTATTTTTTTAATTACAATTCACAATAACATGAAACTATAGAGAATTCAGAGCAAGAGATATAGAAAATCATTACAATAATCCTTATTTAACTTTAGATTTTAGTGAATGTAGATAGGTCCCGTTCATTTCGCTGATTCAAGTTTAGAATTCGAGTTTTTCTACAGTAAAAAGTTCTCATAAACAATCACATCTAACTTTTTTGTTACAGTAAAAAGCTCTCACATAAAGTCACATCTCAACTCAAATTCTAAACTCGAATCAGTGAAATGAACGGGACCATAATAATTATGAGTGTAATGCTTAAGAGTCTAATTAGCGGACAAGTTCTTAGAATTTTCCGTCTTAGATCTTTAGAGCGTTGGTCTACTAATTAGATTCCATCATCAGAAATGAGTACAGAATCCATTAAAAGAGCTATAAAATATATGACTAATTGAAACACCAGAATAGAGAGAATTAATCAATTTATGAATAATTTAGCTATACATAATATGTGGATAAAATACCAACTATTCAGAATAGAAGTAAAATTACTTAATCAATATAGCATGGAATTATGTTATTATATAAGACGATTAAAAAAATAAATATAGACAACATGAGATAACAACTTTTTTTTACTGTAATACTTTCTTTCACATAATTCCAATCTATAAAAACAACCGGGGGTAACTTTCTCTCACAAAAATATTAATTCAAATCACAATTCAAATTTTTTAATATTTTCTCTCTAAAAATTAAAATTTAATTTTTTTATTATAATATTTTTTTTAAATAAATTCGTTTTTTTAATTCAAATTGTCAACCTAAACTTCCAAGAAAAGAACGAGATTCTCCATTAATCTTTTGACATTTTCTTGTCTTTATATAGAGAAATATGTTAAAATGACTATTTAATAAAGTAAAATTAATAAGATGACTTTTTTTATTTTTTATAAAAAATAACCACTTAATTATTTTTTATAAAAAATTATCATTTCTAATTATTCCGTAATTATTTTACAAATTAAAATTTTTAAAAAATTATTTTACTAATAAAACTTTATATGGTACAGGTAACTACTTGCCATAAAATCGTGCACCAATTGGCCTATTCCAATCCCCCATTTTCTTCTTCTTCTCCATCTTTCTGAGTTTTTTCGCTTCAATTTTTTCACCTTTTTTTTTCTCAACCATGTCATCTGCTAATTCGAATCTTCTTCTCCCTCCTCATCATGATTCCCATTCCCGTTGCAATTCTGATTCCGGACCAGTAATCGCCACAACCCCTTTGGTCACATTCCTCCAACGCCTCCAAGAAACGGCACTCAACACTTACGGAAAATCCAACTTCGACCCAAAACTCTACGTCGACCTGTCGTTGAAGTCCAAATTGTCGTTCACAGAAAGCGCTTTTGATCGGCTTCCGAGAGGCTCAGATCATCATGGGTCGGTTTCTGCTGAGGATTTGAGAGAGTTTTTGAGGGAATACTTTGAGGGTGCAGGGGAGGATTTGGTGTACGTCAAGCCAGAGGATTTTGTCCCTGAGCCAGAGGGGTTTCTTCCAAAGGTGAAGAATGAACAAGTGAGGAATTGGGCTTTGGAGGTTCATTCTCTTTGGAAGAATTTGAGCAGAAAAGTTTCTGATGAGGTTTTGAAGAATCCTGCGTTGCATACTCTGCTTCCTCTTCCTCACCATGTCATTATTCCAGGTTCGAGGTTTAAGGAGGTCTATTATTGGGATTCTTATTGGGTGATCAGGTTAGTATTTATTATTATCATTACTAATCGTAAAACCGTACGTATTCAACATTTTTTTATGCGAAGGTCCTATTTTTAAATTTTTTTTTTTATAATTTATGTTTTTTGTTATTGTTTTCTTAACGATTAAATTAAGCAGAAAAAATATTAATTGAGCGACATTAAAAGGGAAAAAAGTTTTTAATGAGACGAATTAATCAAAAAATTATTTAGTAGTAGAGTACACGGAAGAAATTTATCTGCAAAGATTGTAGATAAAATGTTTCGGTAAAAACACATTTTAAAAAAAGATATTAAATATTATTTATTGGCATATATAGTTAAAAAGTATTTGAGGTGATCATTTCATAAAAAAAAAAAGTTTTGATTAGGACATATATAAGAATAAATATTCAACGGGACAATTAGAGGAAAAATATTTATGATGGTCACATTTGAGAAAGAGAAAAAAAAAAGAATATATTGTAGAGGGAAGAAAGAAATGAAGGTAAAGAAGAAAAGAGAAAAAAAGAAAGAAAAAAATTGGGCATATATAGCAAAAAAAAAGTATTAGTAAAAAAAAAAGTTTGATTATGACATATATAAGGAGAAATTTTTTCAATGAGACAATTAGAAGGAAAAAAATATTTATGGGGGTCGCACTTGAGAAAGGAAAAAAAAATATATTGTAGAAAAAAAGGGAGGGAAGAAAGAAGTGAGGGAAAAAAAGGAAAAAAAAAAAGAGGGTTAATGTGGGGGGAGAAACATATGGAAATATTTTAAAAAATAGGAATAAGAATGTAATATAATAATAGATAGACAATAATGATAGGATTAAAGTGCTAAAAATATATTTTAAAAAAGCATGCAAAAAATTAAACTGCAAAAAGAAAACATTCACAAAATTGAAGGTAAGATAGATTTGAGTTTAAGTTGCACAGGACCTTTGAGGAAGAAGCACACTTGGAGAGCGCAGTACAACAGAGAGTAATTAAATTTTTTTTGTAGATCTTAAAAAAATAAGTCACTGCTAATTTTTTTAATTTTAACCGTCAGATCTGTTGTCAGAAACTGCATGTTCTGCATAATTTTTTAATTCAATGTGATTTTAACTCGATTAACAGTAAAAAAAAAAAGGTGACCCATGTTGGTAGGAGGCTTTAAAAGAGAAATTCAAAAAAAAAATTAAAAAATTTCTAAAAATAAAGATAAAAAAGAGAAAAGAGAAAAAAATAGAGAGAAAGAGAAAGAGATGAGCTGCCACGTGGCAGCATAGACAAACTCCTTAAGAGGACTATTTAAAAAAGGTTTCTCCTTTAATAATAGGTAATAGATTATTATTATTTTTAGTGTCACGCTATATGTATATATATAGGAATTGTCTCCGGTCAGGTACTAGGAAAGTACCTAACCGGAACGGTAGTTGTATAATTGTACATAAATTATGTATATTTAAATGTAAATCGTGTATATTTACATATAAAGTTATGTATGTTAAGTTATAAGAAACGACAATGTATATTAATCCTCAAAACATGTATTTTTTATAGCAATTAGTGAACAGATAACATGAAAATAGATATATTGACTGATTTGTTGTATTTCATGTTAAATATACACGAATTATATGTAAATATATATGATTTACATATAAATATACATAATTTATATAGAAATATACAAGTGTCGTTCCGGATCGGAGACCTTACCCCATATATATATATATTATTATTTTTTTTGCTTTGGGAACTTTTACGGTGCGGGATTCTATCATACGTATCCGTACGATTTAATTTGATGACAACATATATGATATGGGGTTGAATACAGTAATAAGATTCCTTAAATAACACCATTTTACGTGCATTTAAATCGTACGGTTGTGGTTTATGATCTCAGGAGTGGCAAATCCTAATCCCACCATATATTTATCTTTGTTTGGATGGAAAAGAGTGGAGAGCTTTCTGCGCATAGTTAATTACAATTTTATCCTTGTTTATTTTTCAGATAACAAAACTAGATAGGCTATATGTATTTTTGCTTATGTTTTTGTAAAGGAAAGTAATTCTTCTTATCTATTTTCATTGAAAGAGAAGGAAATATATACACTATACAGAAATTAATTTAGATCTTAGAATAAAGTATATACATTGTCATTACTTATTCACACTCCTACATAAATGTAAACAATCAATTGAAATTGATGATAGTTTACCGAGATGATTGGAAGAGATTCATGACTTCGTGTATTAATCGACTTTCCTTAACTTGAAAGAAAATTACACTTTTGTGCGTCTATACACTTTTATACTTAAAAAAGTACTAAAAAGAACATTTGAAAAATAATTCATTTGGCTTGGATAATGTAGTTATTTTTTTGGAATTTTTTTTTTTTTTCCAATTTTTAATCTAATACCAAAAAAAGAAGCGATTGTCATCCTTCCTCTTATTATGCCAGACAACCTTAAAAAAACTTACAATTTTTCTCTCTCCCAGTCCGCATATTGTATCCTTCCTTCTTGAATTTTCCTTTTGTAATTATTATTATTTTTTAATGCAGGGGCTTGTTAGCAAGTAAAATGTATGACACAGCAAAATCAACTGTGAGTAATCTCATTTCTCTTGTGGAGGAACATGGTTATGTCCTTAATGGTGCAAGGGCCTATTACACTAATAGGAGGTAATTTTTCTCCCATTTTTCTAAGCCATTTAGCATGATCTTATATATGTATCTTGTGAACTATATACATCAATATATATGACCTATTTGCTTACTCTGTAATTCAAATTTCAGACTTCTTTCCAAAAGGCAAGCTTGATTCACGAGTGACTTCTCTTCTCTTATATACACTTGTCGATTCCGAGTATTTGTTGTTTATACCTAAATAGCTAAGGATACGAAATCAATTTTATGAGCCCCGCCGTATGGGACACAATTTTTTAAGTAGTGGGACCACAACCTGACGGGATTATAAAATATTTTTCATTTTAGTGTGTCCGAATATATAATAAGTCTCGTTTATTTCACTGATTTGAATTTTATTACAGTAAAAAATTCTCAGAAACAGTCACATTTAACTTTTTTGCTACAGTAAAAAACTCTCACATAAAGTCACATGTCAACTCGAATCAGTAAACTAAATGGATCCATAAATACTTGACGTAATATGACTTACTTTAACAATAAAAAACTACCACATCACCACTTATGATAAATAGTATTTTCTCATTACATGTTTTGTTGTTTAGTATTTAATTGAGCAAATTACCTAATGAGATTTCTGATGCCCAAAGCCAATTTGCAGCCAGCCTCCTCTCCTTAGTGCCATGGTTTGTGAAATATACAAGAGGACTGAAGATTTGGATTTGGCTCGGAAATCCCTTCCTGCACTGATTAAAGAATATCAATTTTGGAACTCTGGTATTATTATTGTAACATACTTTTTCCTCTTGTTTGTTGCCAAAATAGAATTATCTTTTTTTCACCTGTGTTACCTTTTTTCTTTTTTCATGATTTGCTTTTGAAGGACAACATAGAGTGACCATTCAGGATGATCAAGCTTGTGATCATACTTTGAGTAGATATTATGCAATGTGGAATAAACCAAGGCCTGAATCTTCAACATTTGTGTGTACTCCTCCACAGCTAACTAAGCATGGAATTCTTTAGAGGTGAAATAATTATTAATTCTATAATTAATTATCTGCCTTGTAGGACAAGGAATCTGCTTCCAAGATCTCAGATGCTTCTGAGAAGCAGCGATTCTACCGCGAGGTGGCGTCAACTGCTGAGTCCGGATGGGATTTTAGTACAAGATGGATGAAGTATTATTTATTTATGTTTTACTACTGAATTTCATTGTCACATATAGATATAAAGAGTTTTTATATTTGTACTTTTGTTGTTTTCTTTTCTTAGGAACCCCACGGATTTTACAACATTAGCTACAACTTCAGTGTTACCTGTGGATTTAAATGCTTTCATACTTGGGGTATGTATGGCTTCGAGATCTTTATGGAACAATCCTTGGAAATGTTTATTCATCCATCAATGTGACAGTACCTTTTTTATTTTGTTGATTAAGATGGAACTGGACATTGCATTCTTGGCAAAAGTTACAGGAGATCATTGCGTCTCTGAGCAATTTTCGGAGGCTTCTCGAACGAGAAGGAAGGCAATGGAATCTATTTTTTGGAATGCAGAGATGGGACAATGGAATGATTATTGGCTCAGCAATAGTAAACACAAGGTTTTGGTCTACTTGTTTTGACATTTATTGCTACTTGAAAATTATGAAAGTAATATGCAATTGTTATGATTCAGTCCATTTTGATGCTTAGGAAGCTCAAATATGGGAAGCTGAGAACCAGAACCCGAAAATATTTGCTTCCAACTTCATTCCATTGTGGATTGAGTTATTTCACTCAGGTTTGTCTTAAATATGAATCTTCATCTTGCATCAAATACTTCCTCTTTTATGCACGCTTTCTACCTGATCAAACTTGGGCCATGACCTAGCTTGAGGCCAAGCCACTGTGACCCATCTTGGCCCAAGTTTGGGCTGATAATAAGAGTAAGCTGATCTTTGAAGATCGGCTTTTTTAGGGCCTAGTATGTGGGAGATGACCACATTTGTGAGCCCAAATTAATTTCATGACAGAAACATGTCCAAGAGAGAGTTTAGGTTGGCTTTTGCAGTTAGTCATATAGATTAAACACATTCTTTTGCCTCTCCAAACCTCATTGTATGGTAGTATAAAATCTAAAGGCAAAATTGGATCTTCTGTTATTGATTTTAATGGAAGAGCCAGAATTTCTTTTCAATGGGGGCACTATGAAAAAGTTAGAGATAGTCTTTTATTAAATGGAGACATAGTTATGTATTTGGAAGTGGCAAAATTATAAATTTTCTCATAAAGTGTAGGCACAACGAAATATTTTGATTAATCAATTGGGGCACAATTATAATTTTTCAGGCAAAATAGGGGCATAAATATTTTAAAAAACTTTTACGAATAAAAGTTCGAATTCCAAAAGTTGAGTAGTGGATGTGCTCAACTCAATACAATGTGGCTCCGTTAGAGATTGATTCTACACAGCACTGGACTCCAACCAAAATATTTCAACATGTCTAATTCACTTCATAAGTTGATATAACTGAGAAATGATTAAACTTTACTCCCTTCAATGTGAAGATGCTTTTCTGGTTGATAAAGTCATGGGAAGTCTTCAAAGCTCAGGCCTACTTTGTGATTGTGGAATAGCAACATCCTTGGCAAATTCAGGACGACAATGGTAATTACTAATTAGTCCATATTATGTGAATAATCCGATCAGATTACACAAAAACTCTCCACCATGGCCTAACAAAAATTTGTAAAAAAAATCCAGGGACTTTCCCAACGGTTGGGCTCCAATCCAACATATGATAATTGAAGGTTTGGCAAAATCAGGATTGAAAGAAGCAAGGTCATTGGCAGAGGATATTGCTGTTAGGTGGATCAAAACCAATTATATTGCCTACAAGAGAACAGGAAGTATGCATGAGAAATACAATGTGGAAAAGTGTGGTGACTTTGGTGGGGGTGGTGAATATGTGCCTCAGGTCTCACTCTCTCATAATCAATTATTATTATTATTATTATTTTGTCATTGGTTACATAATTTGTCAGAAACTGATATGTTACTTTTTTCTTTTTTTCTTTTTTTTTTTTGGGAATGTAACATTGCAGACTGGCTTTGGTTGGTCAAATGGAGTAGTTTTGGCATTGTTGGAAGAGTTTGGATGGCCAGAAGACAGAACGATTGACTGAACGACTGATAACAAGCTGAGTAATTAAAAGATAGGAATATTCACAAACTGCCTTTAATTGATTAGTGTGAAATGTGTTCTCAAATTTCATTTGCAGGGTCATTGGATATTGATGCAAAATGTAAATTCAAGTAATTCCTCATTCTTGAAATCATTATCGCTATTCTCATCTGAGTGTACCAAGCTAATGATTTTCCCGAAATTTGTTACATAAGTTGTAATCACTAGGTGCTTGTCATTGATCAACCATTTTATCTAAATATGCAGCTCTTAACTGGGATACTTTATAACTAATATTGTATTTGCTTAAAACATGAAAAAGATTTCTTATCTTTTCCGCTTTATTTATTTATTTTCGCATATAAGAGCAGGAGTTGTAGCAGTGGCTACCATATTAATCTTCACTATATATATATATATATGTCTTTAATTGGATAAAATACTCTGTTTAATAGGAACTAGTAGCTCTTAGAGTTTTTGGTGTTTTTGGCCCTAAAACTTTGATTGAATTGTCAAGTTGTGTCATGAATTCTTAATTGTAGAAAATTATCTCCGGAATTCAACAAAATATTGTAAAGTGCCCCTAAATCGTGAATAATGTTAATTTGGAAGAAAACGCTCTCACGCAAGTGTTATGATCAACATCCAAAGTTTTAATTTCTGCATTCAAACTAATTCACTTTATGTGTACAAGTACAAGAGTATTTCCGTCCAAATTTTATAACGGTCGTTGACTTGGGGGTATTTTGCAACACTTTGTTAAATTCAAAGTTGAGAGACGAATGCGTCAACTTATTAGCCTGACCGATCTCATACTAAAAAGCCTAACTGATCTTATGTGGTAAATCATTTGCTTGCAACTTCCACGTTTTCTATTAGCATATTAGGGTGTTTTCTTCTAAATCTTACGTCACAAGTTGTGAAATAGTTGGGCCAAGTTGAGGAAATAATGCTTTTGCCATGTCAAATACTGATAAAATCCTTCTTTGATATCAATCTAAATCTCACATAAAAAACCAACCAAACCATTGTTTTATGTCTTCTCTGTTCATCATCGTCTTATCATAATCTCAATAATTTACATTACTGTTACCATTATTAGTCTCATGATTAATTAAGGCTGTTGATGGTCCAGACTAAGTGATAAGGGTGGTGTGTATATTATATATATATATATATATATATATATATAACTATTATTATATATCCGCAGATATCCAAAACGTGTAATTGTTGGGTTTTCAACTTCCATTAAAGTTTGATTAGTACTTGTTGATTAGGACAGAAAGTTTGGTATGCTTTGTAAGCAGCAACAACTGATTGAGATCTTTCATTGCACAATAATATATGTTCCTCAGCTGGTGGAGTAAGTTTGGAAAATACTAAATGGGAATATGGATCATATCAACATCTTAACTAATGGTCTAACAAAAAGATTACCAATTTTTTTATTCTTCACTGAAGAACTTACACAAGCTATTGGATCATAATCCAACTCCCATACACACACACGCATATATACATACATACATATATATATATATATATATATATATATATATTGTGTGTATGTGGCATTTGATTTTTTGTGGAAGTATTAGCATCACAAAAAGATTTAGGGCCTACGAAGTGGGTGGTGGGTTATATAAGTGTCAGATTATACTCGTTTTTTTTTTCTTAGCCATATTTGATAGATTCCCTAATGATGATAGAGATCACCATGCACTCTCTAATAAAAAGCTATGTGTATATGAGTCTGTTGAAATTAGCAAGTTTTTTTCTTTCTTTATAGTTCTTTTTGGGAAAATGAGGAGAGAAAGCCAAAGTTCACAACTCATCAGACACACAAAATGACACTCATGGACAAAGGCACAGATCCTTGAGGGAATCAATATGGGGATTCTAGTCACTCACCTAATAAACTTGAATACAATTATAGATGGGTTTTTGTCAAGCTGTGAGATAACGAGACATATTGTATATTATTATATCTCTACATATTATAAGGGGTTTTTCATATTTTTGTTATTATTTGAGCCACTAATCATGGCTATATCTTCACTATGAAAAAGTATTTTTTATAGTGTTGCCTCTATTATAATTTTTGATTATTTTTAGAGCAAGAAAATGTCATCTAGTTTACTCCATAAGACAAAACTTTAGACACAATCTTATTTACCACCTTAATTACTCGACCATATTAAAGGTTAAATAAAAATTTGTTAAATGGTTAAAGTGGTGTTTGAAGTGCAATGGTAACCTTATTAGAATTACAAAAAAATGTTGTTTTAAGGGTCGGTGGACACATGTACCCCTGCTGTCCATTTTGAGGTGCCTATAATTTCTTTTTCTTTTCCTCGTGATAAGATATATGTTTTCTATTCTTTTGGTGAAGTTGTGAAGAAATGCATCTTTGTCGTTTAATGTATGTTTTATAATGTGACAACCTTGTTCCATAAGAAAGACACCTTCCTCAGATGGATATATATATATATATATATGTATTCAAACAATTAAATTGACAAAATATTAAAATTTTCTTTTGTGGGGTGGGAGAGAAATGATTAGTCTCATCAAACCAAAGATAATTTAGACCAATAGATTGCAAAAGTAAAACCCTATTTTTAAGGGAAAAGAAGGTCCCTGCAAAGATTCGAAACACCCACTGGAACTAGTGGCAATCATTTGAGGATTGGCAGTATTCAAATCACACCCTTTCATTAATTAATTAATCTATGCTTTTTTTGATAATCCAAATGGGGTTGTTTATATATATATATATATATATATATATATATATATATGTATATATATTTGACTGGGAAATGAGTAAGTGGAAAGTAATGACTTTGACGCTCCAAATTTTTAGTATTTCACCATAAATATAAATAGTATATAGTACTCTTTTTTAGGATTTGGTCTTCTTTTCCCAAATGCACAATCTTTATTAGTCAAATAGAGTTGGCGAACTAAACAAAAACAATCCCAAAATTATTGAAAAAAGGGTAGAGAAAGAAAGTTATATGATTAACACAATGACATACAAAATCCAAGGTTTGATCTGATGGGGTGTATCCAAATATAGGTGACAAATCAGCATATACATAAAAGAAGCCTTTTACACTCCTAGCTACTAGCTAGGCGTATATATCCAGGAATATTAATCGTATATACTACAGAAATCAAGTATGAAATTTCTTAGCAGCTTGCATATCAAGAAAGCCATATGAATATTATCTCTTTCTTAATTACAATCTGGATATTAACTGGTAAGGACCATATAGGGATCATATCAAACCTTGATGTTGCTATTTGGCTGGCTTTTTTTTATGTTGCTATTTGGCTGGCATTTTTTTTCTTTTTTAATTTACTTCACCTAAAGTGCACAACTGATCAAGCAACTAATTAACTACATAATCTGAAAAATGAAATTTTTCCCCGACAAGTATAATTCTGGAGATTTTTTGAGTTTTCAAACCAAACTTTTGAAGTCCATTTGCCACTTTGCAAAAATACAATATATGCATAAGCAAAATCGTTACTAACTATTTTCAAAAAAGAAAAAAAAAATCGTTACTAAATTAGAAAATTATGATCAGCGCCCGACATTTACTCACTTCATGTCAACACAATTAAAATGCAATTAATACCTTTTCAAAATAAAGATATACATCTACTTTCAAATAAAAAAATTTGAATGATTAAATAGGTCATTTTTATTTTAAATTAAAGAAATACGCACATTAATACTGACCTCGATATACAAAGACACTAAACCGATGACACTTAGGTCCCGTTCATTTCGCCGATTCGAGTTTTGTTACAGTAAAAGGCTCTCATAAACAATCACATCTTTTTTTTTTGCTACAGTAAAAAACTCTCACATAAAATTACATCTTAACTCGAATTAAAAACTTAAATCAACAAACTGAACGGGCTCTTTAACCCAATAGGTGATTGGTTCCACCTGTACAATTTAATGACGCACAAAAGGGTGATAAAACGTATACCTAGATCCATCAACAGAAAAACACATAAGCGAACCAAATATTGAACACTCAACTGACTCGTTTAAACAAACCTCAACAATCAATCAATCAATGGAAAGCTCCAATCGGTCGAGAGAGAAAGGGACCTGCAACACTAAGGTCATGACAAACGCCACAAAGAAACAAATCTTGCAAGGACACCATATAAAAACAAACGACATAATGCTGAAGGACAAGGATCAGGCCGCACTTATTAGAAAAAAAACAAAATAAACAAACGGAGGTATCACTACAACCTGAAAAAAAGATAAGCTAGGGCACCATCAAAGGACCTCCTTTCTCCGACAAAAAAGTACCGAACTCTGCTCAACGATTCAGACTTCCGGCATTTACGATCGCAGCCCACGAAGTCCAAGAATCGTAGACCATGAACCATCCTTACCTACCCAATCGTCCTCTAACCGCGATGTCCTCCGATACAAAACGAAACTATATGCTGCCCCGGCCTCCCCCAGGCCAGATATATACCCAGCAGCCAGCCCAAGGCCGGCACCGGATTTTTCCCAAGGGAAGAAAAGGGGAGGGCAACACAGCAAAAATTACTTTATGAAACCCTAGCAAAGCGTATATGAGAGAGAATAATAGAAAATGATCTCTTTCTTAAAATAACTTTTGTTTTTTAATAATTTTTTTTCAATAAATAAGATGTTAAAAAGTCTACTAATACACTAATTCGTTAACTTATACGATATCATAACCTAATTTGTTAATTTTAAAATCCATCATTAATTTCAGGGATAACAACTAAATCTATCTATCAAAGACAATAATAATTTCAAGGATAAATTTAACGCTCTCTCAAACGGTAGGTCCTCTCATATAATACGATCAAATTTAAATTTTAACATTTCTCTTGTAAACTTAAATAACTCATGCAATTTTTTTTTTTTTTTTGAGAAAATGAAAATCTAAGTGCATAACGCTCGTATTTCAAAATACTAACTAAAAAAAAAAAAAAAACTAACAGAAAGAGCTCTTAGCAAGTTGAAAAGACCGACCGTAGAAATAGTCCCTTTTTAAGATTTCTTACTCTAATCAAATTCCTAAAATTACTTATACGTTGTGTATGATCTTCCAAACCCAAAGACAAGATCACATGCCTTCGCTTAATCACATTACACATACGCATGTTTAAAACATCGTACATACATACATTTTGGACTTCATGAGTAGTACTTTACAATGCAAAAGATATTACGTGCATGTTTATCTGTTATATGGGCG